TATTTAGTGATTCTCTCAGAAATGAAACATTACAGACATTTATAATGTTCTTATGGTGATATGCTCCAGTACCGTCAGTATGTTAGACAAACTACAAACGAGGAAAAGAATATAGTAAACAATTCTTAAAACACCTTTTCTCTATTCAACACTAAATCCATCATTTCAAAACACTTTAACAAATTATAACTCTTCTCGAGTCTCAACAACTGCTTCCTGGACTGCACTTGTTATCTTTGAAACCAAATAAATTGATGTATAGGGGGGGGTCCCATGTACACGGCCCCCCACCCTTAATGAGGGTTTTGTTCAACGTCCCTACAGCAAACTTCCGCCTATGATGGCCACCATTTAAATGATCTAGGTCCCAGCCTTTCCTTCCTCAGGTGATTTCTAGAGTAAATAAAGGAGAGAAAACTACAAGTGTGGGTCATATCCCTGCTTTGTGCTTTGCTACATATATACCCTCAGGAACATAACTCATTCATCAGTATAGGAGCTCCTGCATCATCAAGCATCAGGAACATAACTCATTCATCAGTAGCAGAGCTCCTGCATCATCAAGCATCAGGAACATAACTCATTCATCAGTATAGGAGCTCCTGCATCATCAAGCATCAGGAACATAACTCATTCATCAGTATAGGAGCTCCTGCATCATCAAGCATCAGGAACATAACTCATTCATCAGTATAGGCTCCTGCATCATCAAGCATCAGAACATAACTATCATCAGTATAGGAGCTCCTGTATCAAGCATCAGGAACAAACTCATTCATCAGTATAGGAGCTCCTGCATCATCAAGCATCAGGAACATAACTCATTCATCAGTATAGGAGCTCCTGCATCATCACATCAGGAACATTACTATTCATCAGTATAGAGCTCCTCATCAGAACATAACTCATTCATCAGTATAGGAGCTTCTGCATCATCAAGCATCAGGAACATAACTCATTCATCAGTATAGGAGCTCCTGCATCATCAAGCATCAGGAACATAACTCATTCATCAGTATAGGAGCTCCTGCATCATCAAGCATCAGGAACATAACTCATTCATCAGTATAGGAGCTCCTGCATCATCAAGCATCAGGAACATAACTCATTCATCAGTATAGGAGCTCCTGCATCATCAAGCATCAGGAACATAACTCATTCATCAGTATAGGAGCTCCTGCATCATCAAGCATCAGGAACATAACTCATTCATCAGTATAGGAGCTCCTGCATCATCAAGCATCAGGAACATAACTCATTCATCAGTATAGGAGCTCCTGCATCATCAAGCATCAGGAACATAACTCATTCATCAGTATCAGAGCTCCTGCATCATCAAGCATCAGGAACATAACTCATTCATCAGTATAGGAGCTCCTGTATCATCAAGCATCAGGAACATAACTCATTCATCAGTATAGGAGCTCCTGCATCATCAAGCATCAGGAACATAACTCATTCATCAGTATAGGAGCTCCTGTATCATCAAGCATCAGGAACATAACTCATTCATCAGTATAGGAGCTCCTGTATAACTTTAAAGACATTCTGGGGAAGTATTTTCATCCTAGAAAACTATCTCAGCTTTTATAATGGGAGTATATGGGATAATTGATCTGATCTACTAAAGGTTTTTCAGCAACACAAATCTCTTATAGACTGGGTAATGCCTGTACTACCTTCATGATAATCAAACTACCAGAACAATATTATATAATTACCAGATAGTCCTGTAGGCCCAGTTAACTTCAGGTCTAGTTCACTGCAGGTCCAATTAACTTTAGGTCCAGCCCACTTTAGACTAATTCACATCAGGTCCAACTAAATTCAGGTCCACTTTAGGCAGTGATGGAGAAAGTACCTGAAAATATTACTTCAGATAAAGTAATGCACTGCTACTACATAAAAATAAGAACTTGTACAAAGTAGTTTTCTTCAAAACTACTTCAATAAAAGTCTAATTACCTCAAGTGAAACTAAGCTACAAGTAGAAAAACAAAAAAAAACAGTATTTGTAAAGTTGTGTATCATAATTGAGGTGCTTCCATTGATGGTAATGAATCAACCAATGGCACCCAAATCAGATTCTTGTTTCAACAGGAAACCGAACTCTTTCTCTGACCATTATTAATATACTTAAAAGAGAAACAAAGTATGAGACTGAGAAACGCTTATGTATTTACAATCTACGTTGAGTTAATTTTGAGTTGAGTTTTGGCAATAACTTATGATCATTATTTCTTGTGGCACACCTGGGATGGTATATCAGATTACCACAGGTGTTATGCTCTTACTGTATGTACACTAAAACACAAACTGCAGTTCTCGGGCCATTGCGAGAAGAAGGTAAATCAGGCAACTAAATCACTAGGTCATATAAGAAGGTCGTTCAGATATCTAGACAGTCCATCTCTCGTAACGATCTTCAAGAGTAAAGTGTTTCCCCGTCTGGAGTTCTGTCACCCCGTCTGGTCCCCGAGATATGCTAGGGACTGTCATTTGGTTGAAAATGTCCAAAGGAGGGCCACCAGACTGGTGCCTGCACTTCGGCACCTCAGCTACCCTGAGAGATTGGAGCGCCTGAACTAGCCTAGCTTATACTACAGACGGGCAAGAGGAGATCTAATTGAGGTGTACAAGCATCTCAAGGAGCACTACTCAGTCGAGTGTCCTTACTTGGAGCTGGCGGAAGCTCGCCCCACAAGGGGTCACAGCTCAAGGTTAAAGAAGCTGCAAGTCTAGAAAACTGTGAGGGGTAACTTTTTCAGAGTGAGGGTTGTGAACTTTTGGAACAATCTGCCAGTGTTGTGACGGCACCGAGTGTGAGCTCTTTCAAGACCAGACTTAACCAACACTGGAGCAGGTTCAGGTACATTCAGGATCCAGTGCATGCCCAGTACTTGCTAACAGTGCGTAACAGAGACATAATCGATCGCCCAAGCGGCTAACGAGCCTATCAGTGGTGAAGAGGATAAAAGTAAACACTTTTACACTAATACACATACACAGACACACACTAACACAAAAAGGATAGTGTAGTGTAGAGTATCATGAAACAGTACTGTAGATAAGTGAGATAAATAACAAGATACAGTAAACTAAAGCAACAAATAAGACAATAAGTGTAGGGACAACACCCATGTGACTGACTAACACAACATGTCTTGAGAACAATTATCTATAAACAAAGACACAACCTTATTATAAAGAACCTGGGGAGAAGAGACAGTGAGGGATACCTTAATGAAGACACACAACACAATAATGGCCACATCAAACTGGACCTGATAATTAACTAACAATAAAACAACAAAGACCTCAGAGAAAAAAATGAAAGAATTAGTGATCCACAATGAGAATGTTCAACTAAAGACCAGAAGAGACCAAGTAGTCAGGAGACAGCAAGATGAGGATTCTGAAATAATGTTCCAGTCCTACCACCAGTAGAGGCAGGAAGTGAGCTACTAACATCTTTAAGTAATACTAGTAACTCAGTGAGAACTAAACCTCAAGTTTAACAAGGCAGTAATTCTACTAACCCTTAAGGCTCACAACTTTCATAGAGGACAATATTAGAAAATGAGCCAATAAGTGTTGGTACAAGAATGACACAAGTCTAGTTAATAAGACAACTATTGGGTGGATACAAAACAGCCAGACATTATGGTGATCAGAGAGTCCTGGGGTTGAAAAGATGTGTTGCAGGTGAGTTTTTTTGACCAGGTTATCACTCACCATTCAGTAAGGACAGGACAGGGCTACAAGAGGTGGTGGTGTACTACTATACTGTTATGAGGGCCACTACTGCCACCATTTATGAGGGCCTCTGTGTGCCAGTAACAATTCCTTTTACTCTCATACTTATTACCATTGGTAGCGTGACGAGAGGAGGCTCGTGGGTATATGTAATGATAGTATCAAGTAATAGGGAAGAAATAACGGTAAATACTGTAGGTAAATAATAGACACAATATACAAAATACAAAATTTATTTAAACATTAATATGGAGATAGGAGAAAGAATATATATGTACCAACAGACGAAATCTGGTACTATGCCCTCAGGCTCAACATACTCACACCACGACTGGGTGGACATACTCAATAACACATAACTCTTATAATCACTTAGCACCCTAAAGAACAGGGGCAAGTGCCACTACAACACTCAGTCGTCAGGGGTGATACTCAAGCAACAGCCATGGGGTCCAGCCACCATGGAGTACTTTCCGACGAACTCTGAAGATCCCAGTGGATTAATTCCACCACACAAATAGCCCTACGGAGTTAGCCACTCATCCACCAATGATGGGGGCTGGTAGTGGTGTGTGACTTGGTGATCCGGGGTCACCTCGCAGGCCAAGCGTTAGGGCCAGACGAGCCAGCTATGGGGGCCATAGGTAGTCTGAAGTGTCTGACGGCCGGGTCTCACGAAGGTAACTGATCCTAATGGACCTCGGACATCTCCCCAGACATAGTGGATACAACATCCACGCTACAGACACGGCCTAGGCTGCGTTAGGGACCTGTATGGATGAAGGGACGGGCACTCACTAACGGTGACAACAACATCACGTTTCAGGGGACGTCAAAGACGTAAATATGACTTCACTCAGAGCATATCAACTACGTTACTGTAACACTTGCACAATCAACTATTAATTGGGTCAAATCACTTAAAGAAGGGCGAATTACAACACAGAGTGGAATGGCATACCTGTATGGATGAAGGGACGGGCACTCACTAACGGTAGAAATGCCCGCGGCGCCCTCACTCAAAATAGGCCAGGGAGTCCACCTACTTCTATTCCGATGAATCAATTTACTGTACACTCTGACGTTGAAATGAGACTATAAACTCAGTTTCATTCCCTACTATTATCTTCACTAACAATGCTCTGACTCAGCTATCAAAAGCAAAATTAAATTGATTACAAAGAGTTGGATGGCAACAGGTCCCAACATACAGCGTCTGCTACGAAATCCGTGGATTATATTCAAAGTTCCCTACAAACAAAGACGGGGAAACAGAGAAAACGGGGGACGTTTCCACTGGGGGACTCAGAAGGTTTTGTGGACGTTTGAGCGTAATATGAATCCTTAAGGTTTTCAGGTGAGCCGTTATCACGATCATGACACTGTATGTTAAGGAACACCTGACAGTAACCAGTAATGATAAGCTCAATGAAATGGGGTTACCTGAATCTATTTGATGTGATTTAATAGGTTGAATCAGCCTCACAGGGGGTTAGTGGCAGATCTTTATTTATTTATTTTTCATGATATGTATGTAGAATTGTGTGTGCGTGTCAATGTGTAAAAATAAAATGAAGAAACTTATGTACAGTATAAATACCTGGAATAACGAGTTGAAAAATAACCACAACGCCTCACAGCTCTACCTGGTAGGGAGAGGGCTGAGGGATATGGCTCCAGTAATAAGTTCACCTTGGCAACAAGGTCTTAACAGATACAAATGAAAAGAAAATTACTGTATTTGTAAATCTTCATTTGTATAAGGAAGCTGTAGCCTTAAAGCACCATATATAGTAATTAAGGTTCTGTTCTTCAAGTAGCAACAAAGAATCTTGGGGTAGGTCGACAAGCCCAGGATAAAGGAGCTTACTGATAAGGTTAGTCTACCACCAGCATGCACTGTACTATAGTTCACTGTAAATGATCCTTCAAATAATGAGTATATACAGAACAGTAGTTCAACCATCAACTTATTGTACAGTATAAATATTTTATCCTTAAAGGTTGAACTGTATTCCAGTATATACTGTACTGTAATGATTATTCCACAACTTTTATAGATTTATTATATGTAACAAAGGCAATGTGCCACCTCATCCCTTCCCAGCAAGACATTAAACTGAATTATGGCCAAATGTTAATTACTACATAATATTAGAGGCACACTGAACCATCATTGGTCCCGATGAGTTTGGATAAAAGTAATTGTATTGTATCTGTAAACTCTAGAGAAAATTATGAGGGACACCATCATCAGTGTCTACTGGCCAGACAAAACAATATTCCCTGGCTTTTCCAAGTTTTCCCAAGTGTAAATTTGAAAACTTCCAGGTACAGAAGTACCCTGATTTACGTGGTCAATTGTGGAAAGTGAAAACCGCGTAAAGTGAACAACAGAACTGGCCCGACCCCCAAACTCCACTTTTCTGACACAATACCTATGTTGTAGTAAAAATAACATCTAAATTTTATGATGGTATGCTCACACAATTAATATTTAAGAGAAATACAGTCGCCAGGTTTATGTCCATTCAAATAATGAACTCAAATCCCCCCCCCCCCTCTTCCCAGCTCACTAGCTCCTACCTCTCTGAGAAATGTTTGGGTGAAACCACTAGATTTTAACGTTTAGTAATAAATAATACCTCAGACTAAAGTTAGGATAATATAATTGACATTTCTGGATTCCTTGCAGGTCAGGGAATATTTTGAATGTAAACTTCATATATTTTGCATAAAAGATAAAATATTTGCTTTGTGTAAACCAAATTATTACATTAAATCTAAAATTTGTATGTCTAATGCAAAATCCATGATGTTTATATTCAAAATGATCATCATATTGTAAGAATTCCAGCAATGTAAATTATATTCTGGTCGAGTAATTTGTATGAATTTTATGAGCTAAAACAAATATCTTCAGTTGATAAAAAAAATAAAAATATTCTTCACAACACTATCTGTCAATGAAAGTACCCCACCTTGCCTCCCCCCCTCCTCACACTCACACCAGCTGGGTCGGTCCGTCCCAACCCTCCCACCCCACCCCCCACCTTCCCTCCCTACCAGAGAAATGTTGGGTGAAAAAACTAGATTTTAACTTTT